AAAAGGAACCACTAATAAATCCATATTATGTTGGCTAAATCTACTATCTGACAGTCAGATCCATTTACACTATCAATCTACAAATAGTTTTGATCACTCTAAGCCTCACAGTCGAGGACATTTTCAAATTTGCAAGTTCAATATTCATATTGCAAATCAATATCGTCCTAGTTATGAGGCAAACCGACACTATTATGGTGCAAATGCCTCGATAACGCTCTTCTGCCTGCCAAGAAGATTATTTTGGTGCGGGAACCAATTCTCATATTACTCCAAATTTAGCAGCCTTGAGTATTGCCAAGGACCGCAAAGGTGATAATAAAATCCCAGTTGGAAGTGGTCAATGTCTGGAAATCTCTCACATTGGTATTGGTTTTTTACCTGACCCTCAAAATTCTTTTTTTTATAAGAATAATCTTTATTTCTTCCTCTCATTTTTCTTTTGATAAATTTTTTTCAACTGTGGAAAATCAAATTCAGTACTGGAAAAATGAAATGCAAACGTTTTGAAACCGATCTTACTATAATAATCAGATAGATCTGTAGACTAAATTCCAATGCCTAAAATTAAAGCATTTTAAAGGTTTAATGCCTAATATACAAATATATTAAAAGTCAGTCAGTTTTAAAAGAAATGATTATGCATTGTGTATAGAATAAGAGTATAATCACATTCACGTTGTTTTGTATAAATAATTGTTGGAGACTGTGTTAAAAGTCAGTCAATAATGGCGGTGCATGATTTCAATAATGGCGGTGCATGATTCAAAGGTTGGCACCGAACAGTTTTTTTGTTGAAAATGGTATTGTGATAATTGCATTTTAGTCCCTATATATTTTAGGATATTTACAAGATTAGTCCTTTTTTAACTATAAATATCCTAACCCATTTAGCTTCAAAATCATCCCAAATCATTTCTTTCTCCCAATACTAGAGAGTTTTCTTGTGAGTTGAGAGTATTTTGTAAATACCTGTAAATTTTCCCTCTTTAGTAAAAGATCTGTAGCAGTCCAGAGAGGTAGACATAATTGGCTGAACTCCGTTATCAATTTCGGGTATTATTTTTCCTTTTTTATTTCGCATTCTCACTAATCTGGTTATAGGGAAATTACTCGTTTATTTTCCAACAGCTGGTGTGGGAGTGATTGTCAGAAATTGACAATTGTCAGAAAAGATCCAAACAAAGCCAGATTCGAGTGGGAGTGATGATTGTGGACGAAGAGAATATGAAAATTGAGAACTTCGATGGTGTGGACTTTGGCTTTTAGAAGATGCAGATTTAAGATTTTATGTACCAGAAAAATCTATATCAACCTCTCTCAGGAAAGCAACCAGAGGGCATGAAGGATGAAGACTGTGCTCTTCTTGACAGAAAAGCCCTCGGAGTTATCCGATTGACGTTATCCCGCAATGTTGCTTTCAACATAGCAAAAGAAAATATCACAGTGGGTCTTATGAGGGCTCTCTCCAGTATGTATGAGAAGTCATCGGCCTCAAACAAAATTCACTTGATGAGACGATTATTCAATTTGCGGATGGCGGAAGGGGCATCAATGGCTCAACACCTAAATGAACTCAACACAATCACAACCCAGTTGAGTTCCGTGGAAATTGAATTCGATGATGAAGTTCGAACTTTAATTCTCTTATCATCTCTACCAGATAGTTGGAATGCTATTGTTATAGTAGTCAGCAACTCCTCGGAAAACAACAAATTAAAATTCGACGATGTTCGAGATCTAGTATTGAGTGAAGAAATTCGACGGAGAGAATCGGGTGAAGTATCAAGCTCCTCAACCTTGCACACGGAGTCTAGAGGGAGAACTTCAGAAAGAAATCCAAATCGTGGCAGATCGAAATCCAGAAGGGAAAAATCAAGAACTGGAAAGAAAGATTTTAACTGTTATAATTGTGGCAAGAAGATCCACTTTCAAAAAGATTGCCGAGCACCGAAGAAATATATCGGTGCATAGGAATCTGCCAACATGATAGATGAGACATGTGATGCCATGATTCGAAGCGTTAACAGTCCGATTGAATCATTGATCTTCGATTCAGGGGCATCTTTCCACTCCACCCCATGCCAAGAAATCATGGAGAACTATATCAATGGTGATTTTGGGAAGGTTCATGTAGCTAATGATGAAACCTTGAAGATTGTCGGAAAAGAAGACATCCGATTAAAGTTGCCAAACCAGACCACCTGGAAGCTGAAAGGAGTGAGATATATTCCTGGCCTCAAAAGAAATTTGATTTCTGTTAGACAGCTTGATGGAGAAAGATATTGTACATCCTTTTCAGGCTGTGAATTGAAGATTACCAAAGGAGCACTCACCATTGCTCGTGGTAAGAAGACTGGTACTCTCTATGTAACCTCAAACTTGGAGAATATCATTGCAGTAGCAGATGTTGATGGAAAATCAAATCTATGGCACCAAAGGCTTGGTCATATAAGCGAGAAAATGATGAAGACACTTTTGTCAAAAGGGAAGCTTTCGAATATAAAGAATATAGATGTCAAACTATGTGACGATTGTATCTTTAGCAAACAAAAGAAAGTCAGTTTTGCAAAGATTGACAAGATACACAAGGCTGAAAAGTTAGAGTTGGTTCATACTGATGTATGGGGACCATCTCCAGTTCCATCTCTTGTATGTTCACTATATTATGTCACCTTCATCAATGATTCTACAAGGAAGGTGTGGGTTTATTTTCTGAAGAAGAAATCAGAAGTCTTTGATACCTTCAAAAAATGGAAGGCCATGGTGGAAAATGAGACTGGTTTGAAAGTCAAGTTGTTGAGGTCTGATAATGGAAGAGAGTACAGAAATAGTAGATTCAGAGATTTCTGCGCAAACAATGGGATCAAGATGGATACAACAGTTATCATGACACCGCAACAGAATGGCGTAGCAGAGCGCATGAATAGAACTTTGAATGAACATGCCAGAAGCATGAAGATACATGTTGGATTGCCCAAATTGCTATGGGCTGAAGTTATCAACACTGCAGCTTACCTGATAAACTGTGGGCCCTCAGTTCCCTTAGATGTCGAAATACCAGAGGAAGTTTGGAGCAAGAAAGAAATAAACCTTTCACACTTAAGAGTGTTTGGTTGTATTTCTTGTGTACACATAAATTCTGCTGAAAGAAGTAAACTTGATGCCAAGTCAAACAAATGTGTCTTTGTTGGTTATGGTAGTGATGAGTTCGGTTACCGGTTTTGGGACTATGAAAATCGAAAGATCATCAGAAGTAGAGATGTCATTTTCAATGAGAATGTGATGTATACAGATAGGTCAACCATAGAATCAAGTAGCTCAAATAATGAAGCTGAAACAAAGGAATTTATTGAGTTGAGATTTCTGGAAATGATGTTCAGATCAGTCCTGAAAAAGTTCAATAAGAACTAGGCACTCCGGAACTAAGACGCTCCTCCAGAATTCCTAAACCAACCCAACATTATTCGCCTTTTTTGTACTACTTGTTGCTGACTGATAATGGTGAACCAGAGTGCTATGATGAAGCAGTGCATGTGGAGGATTCAGTCAAGTGGGAGTCTTCAATGAAAGATGACATGGACTCACTTATGTCAACAAAGGCGGTGACTATGGATAAACTGAAGTTGTGTTCAGCTTCAATTGGCATGCTAGAGTAACGAGACCAGAAATGCTACTGCATTGATCGAGGTGTAAAGAACGATTAAAATCAGTCTTCAAGTGGGAGATTGTTAAAAGTCAGTCAATAATGGCAGTGCATGATTTCAATAATGGCGGTGCTTGATTCAAAGGTTGGCACCGAACAGATTTTTTGTTGAAAATGGTAATGGGATAATTGCATTTTAGTCCCTACACATTTTAAGGTATTTACAAGATTAGTCCTTAAGCTTCAACTATAAATACCCTAACCCATTTAGCTTTAAAATCATCCCAAATCATTTCTTTCTCCCAATACTAGAGAGCTTTCTTGTGAGTTGAGAGTGTTTTGTAAACACTTGTAAATTTTCTTTCTTTAGTAAAAGATATGCGGCAGTCCGGAGACGTAGGCATAATTGGCTAAACTCCGTTATCAATTTCGGGTATTATTTTTCCGCTTTTATTTCGAATTCTCACTAATCTGGTTATAGAGAAATTACTCGGTTATTTCCTAACAGACTGAAATGCTGTATAAGTGAACTTTGAAAAGTTCCAAGGATGATAATAAAACGTGTCATATTACCAATTTTTTCTGCCACCCTATTAACCTAAAATTTGTTGAAAGATTAAGGATTTGGACCCTTAATGCCATCATATCACGTGGGGCAATTGTTGGTCTTGCTACAAATATTGAACTACCAAACTTATCCATTGGTATATTCCTTTATGTATGACAAAAATAAGCCATGTGTTCCTTTTATGTTAAGTAAAAGTTTTATTATCCATAGTTCAATGACTGGATTTGGGGAATTGGAGAACAAGTTGAGGCTCTGCATGCTCATTTCCACATCAGATAAGTTGTGCCTCTTTTCCATTTCAAAAGAGGTTTCTTCTGATCATAAATGGACCCGCTTGGTCATATTTAGTTTGCTTATCAGTTCTTCACCATCCTTTGACTAATAGAAAAATGGTGATCAAATGGTGAAACTTGACATTTGTCTTCCTTTCTTATATATTTATATATAATATCAAAGCAGTAAAAGCTACAATGCTAATTCAGAAAGCTTCTAATCTACATTCTCTTACAACCCATGATGTCTGTTAGGATCTTTCCACAAAATCTTTTGTTGACGAAAACGGGTAAAGAAAACAAAAGAACACGAGAATTTTACGAGTTTCGGCAATGTGCTTACGTCCTCGGTGCCTAGGCGGCGCTAGAAGTTTTTATTCAATGATATTTTAGGTCTAGGTTACATCTCTATTTATAATAGAAAACCCTGGTACATAATTACAAAATTAACCCTGTACCTATATCCCAGTCCTCTTTACTGGTATATTTATGAGCCATACCTAACATCTTTTTATTTAAATATTATCTCATTTCTTTTTTGATGAGCAATAGATGACTCATGCAAACACAAAAGCTAGATTCAACCACCATACCTATATCCCTTTAAATACCACTACTCGAATCCAATGATTCATCAATCACCGCAAAATAAAACATCTCTTCCTTGATCTTAGAAGCTGATAGATAACAAGATTTCTATTTCGTTCATCAGAATGAAGAACCAGATACTAAATCAGGTAATCGGAGTTACAATCAAATCGACGATGTGTCAAGTTGAGAGAAGGCCAAGACGATACTTACTGGAGATCATCGGCCAATATCGGATTCCATCATCTGCTAAAGGGTCCAACACGTCTAGAACAAGTAGGTGCTCCCTTTTAATCTGTGATGGGTTAAGAAATTCATGATGAATATGTTTTATAATACCAATTAGAAAGTTCTGAAATTTCAGGCAAAGGGAATTTCATACTTAAAAGGTTGAATAGACTTCGGAAGAAAGCTGATATTTTCGCACATGGAATCCGTGAACATGGTAAGATACACTCTAAAGTCTAAACATATATATATATATATAGCATGTATGCATGAATGTATGTATATGAAAACTGAGATCATCATTGAATATGCTGCGAGGCTAGGACCAAAGGTCAGTGAAATAGTGAAGGGAAAGCTGAGTTTGGGGGTAAGAATTCTTCAAGTAGGAGGTGTGAATAAGATATTCAAACAATTGTTTAGTGTTAGAGAAGGAAAGAAGCTGATGAAGGCATGCCATTGCTATTTGTCAACAACAACAAGCCCCATAGCTGGTTTACTTTTCACCTCAACTCAAAAGGTTGCCGTTTGCAATGACAAATCAATCAAAATCCCATCTCCTGATGGTGAATTCCTCAGAATCCATTACAAGGTTTGTATATTTCATCTGTTTTGATTTCCCTCTCAGATTGCATAATTTTGTACCCTTCAATCCTCATGTTTTTGTATGTTAATTTTGATATTCAGGTTATGATTCCACTTGAGAAAATAAAGGGAGTTAATGAGAGTGAAAACATGAAGAAAGCATCACAAAAGTACATGGAAATCATGACGGTAGACGATTTTAATTTCTGGTTTATGGGGTTCTTGAATCATCAGAAAGCTTTCAAATTCCTTCAGCAAGCAATCTTCTAAAGACTACTACATGATGCACTGCTACAAATCACTTTCTAGGTGGCTTACAAATGTCTCATGAAATTGTTCTTGTTCATGAAATTCAAAGAACAGTCGATCTTACAATTGTAAAAAGATTTTTTTTCCAATTAAACTTTAGATGAAGGAAGATTAATGACTACACTCAATAACTGCATTTAATGAAGAAATCCAATTGTGCAATACATAGTTGCCTATTGTCAATCAACTTTAGCTTATACATACGCGAAAAGAGTATAACAAATATAGCTTAAATAAACTACAATGGCTACCATTCTCAACTTCCATTTAATGACCTGACTTTTTGCCCTTTCAAGACCCTTTATTCCAAACCAATTGTTCTTAAATCTTGAAACTAAAAGAGGACTGATGACCGGTGGTTGGCAACATAATTGTTTGTTGGTTGCCAAATTCTAGGCTGTGACGAAAAGACATGAACAATAATGAAAAAAAGAAATTGCAAACAAATCATAATAGTTAATACCAAATAGGCGGCGATAATTAATATGAGGTTTTATCATAATAGACATTCAGCATTTCAACGACAGAAAATGCTCAAACATTGTGGACATAAGTTATCTTCCCATTTAAAATTTGAGAATTCATTTTTTTTATAGGAAATAGGCCTCGTTAACAACCTCCTTCTTAACCGTTAAGCTACAAAGTATCTTAACGGGCATTAGAAGGAGGAAAAGAGTGCCCGAAATTTATTAACATCAACAAAGAGTGCAACCTAAGTAAACACTCCCTAGATTACAACCTTACTCATAAACACACCTATCCCATGACAGGATAATTACATTCCCAACAAAAACCAAAAAACATAATACAAAACACATCAAACATTACCCAATTCTTGCCTTAGCTAAACTATTAGCTTCACAATTATTACTTCTCTTTACAAACCTAAGTAGCACATTGGAAACCAACACAGTCGTAGCTAATTCTTTTACCAGAATACTAAACACAACAGGACAACACTCTGGATTTTTAATCCAATCCACAGTAACTAAAGAATCACTCTCCAAAATGAGATGCCCTTTGTCTTTCCACTTCGAATCCAAAAACATATTCAGTCCAGCTTTAATAGCTTTGAGTTCAGCCAGGACCGGCGGAACACGTCCAGCCGCGACTGAGAAAGACCCTGGTGCTTACCTTCTGAGTCCCTAACCATCCCACCAATCCCACTGCTCCTCCAATCACAACCCACTGCACCATCCACATTAACTTTAAACCATCCCGAAGGGGGAGGACACCAACCTGTCAAAAGAATAAATTCCTTCAATGAACTCTTGTGCAAATCAGCCAACGTAAGGTCACCTACAAGAAGATCAAAAAACAACTGGAAACCTTGAATTTTTTGCCAAGAACCAAGTAGCCACCCTAAATCTAACCAGAAAAATCAAGTAGGTAAGATCCAACCTTCCATTTTCAAAAACCAATTTATTCCTACATAACCAAACATACCACATGACTGCTCCTAGAATAAATTTCCAAATCTCATAATACGAAAAAAATTCAAACCACACAGAAAAGAATTCAACGGGACTATTTGGAAATACAGTACATACATTCCACATCCTCAAGAACCGCACCCACACACCCCAAACTAATCTGCAAGAGAAGAATAAATGACAAACCGACTCCACACCCGACCCACATAACGGGCAGAGAGGATCATCAATTCAACTAATACCTCGCCTAATCAAGGCAGACTTAACTGCCAACTTTTGGTGAAAAATCTGCCAAATAAATGTTTCAACTTTAGGAGCTAAACCAGCCTAAACAAACTTTGACCAACTAAAATCCGAAACCAAGGAACTTGAAGCTACTTTTATACCCGATTGAACCAAATAAACTCATTCCCCATTTCCTCTCCAAACACAACAGCCATCATCACCTGCACCCATACTGATAGTGTCTAATAACGAAATCAATTCCATCCAACGATCCACCTCCCAATCAAACAAATTTCTTCTCATCTGAATATCACACACCCATCTTCCATAATTAAATGGCCCAAATTTTGTTATAAACATCTTTGTTAACAGATAGAGCAAAGAGCCTAGGAAATCTCAACCTCAGGGGAAGGATATCAATCCATTCATCCTGCCAAAATCGTATCGAATTCCCTTTCCCTACTTGCAGCAACAAATGATTGCGAAGCTCTTTGCTAAAAATGTCATCTGACCAGAAATTATTGTAAACTCCCTTCCAAAGCCAAGAAGACTGGGCGGACAGAGTAGAACTCAACCTTATATCTCTTCTATCAAAATCATACTTGGAACACACCATCCTTTTCTACCAAGATTCTTTTTCGCTCCCAAATTTCCAAACCCATTTACCCAATATAACTTTATTCATAAGCTTTAAATCATTGATCCCCATTCCCCTATATTGTCTTTGTTTGCACACTTGCGACCAATTTACCCAATAAATATTAACTTTAAGATATATACTTATTAAAGAATTAAAATAATATTTTTTAAAGGGGTCTATAGGAATGCCTCTTAACTTATAAGAACTGCATTTTCGAAGATTGTCAGTACAAAATGATATTTTCTTATAAATATATAATAAAATATTTTTAATATATTAAACCTACATAATTTGTAAGAGAAATATATTAAATATATTTTATTTTTTTAAAATCAAGACAATGTTCTTTTTTAAGAGAAATCTATTAAAACACCTCTTAACTAACAAGAATTTGTTTTAGAGGATTGTTCATTCGAAAGAATGGCTTTTTATTTTTTTAAATGATTTCACTTTGTGATATGAGTGGTAAAAGTATTATATGCATTCATGATGCATTCATAACATTTATTTAATTTGTCATCATTTTTTTTAATTTAGTAAATCTCAAGGCAATGTTGTTACAATTGGAGGAATTGATAAGATAGCGTTTTGAATAACATAATAGCTATCTATGTTAATTATTTAAATTAAAAGAATCATAATTTAAATATATATATTCAAATTTCCAAGTTTCAATATTTAGATGGCGTATGATCGCTTAAGTATTGATTTCGGGCGTTGTGGGGTGTTAATCATTTTCTGCGCTTAATTAACCTTTTTTTCAAAATGAATTTCTTGTTAAACGTAGGTTATTTTGTCTTTTAAAATTATTTTTCCTTAAAATTCGTTTAAAGGACGTCTTTAGGTATTCAATCTATCTCAAAAGTCGATTGCGACTATAAATTTATTTGTTTTTCCAAACTCAAATTTCACTTAGTCTTTTAAAATTAGATTGTGTCACACCCCAATTTAGGGGTCAAATTATAAGTTTTCGAAACTTAAAGATAGATTTAGAAAGTATTGGAAATTCAGGGTCCCAGTCCTGAATTTACCCATTTTTGTTAGTTAATGAAAAATAAACCCCCTTCCCCGATGAAATCCCTAAAACCTAAAATTTCCCCATTTGAAAAACCCCTTCACCGACCCGATTCCCCACCGTCTGACCGCCACATCCTGTGCCGCTACCCCCTTTCGACTCCCTATCAGCCAGCGACCAAAGCCCGAACATTATCATGCCGTGAAACGCCTCCATTCGCCGTGAATTGAATCTCAAATCCTCATCGAAAACCCCACCTCGTCGTTCGATTTTTCGTGGGTGAGGTTGTCGTCTCCGTTTTTGATGACCACTGATGTGGGTAGGCATTTCAGTTATTTTATTTTATTTTAGATGGATTGTGGCTAATTTTGAGATTATATTGGCTTGATATGTTGTGTTGATGCTCCAGGAAGAATCGGCAGACCACCCCGAGGTTGTCGCCACCGCCACGCGCCTCCCTGCCTTGGAAATATTCTAGAATCGATCCAACCTGGTCCGAACCGGGTCTGTTTGACCCGACTGAGTCAACCAAACTGTAACACTCCAACCCGTACCCGACCCGAATACGAGTCTGAGGTGTCACATTGACTTTTCAAACCTTGACACTTAAAGAAAAACCTCGGGGAATTTAAAACTTGTTTAAAACAAAATACTTTAATTTACATAAAAGAGACCACAAAATACAAACTTGATCAGAGTACTCATAATTAACGACTTATTACATGCCAACACTCTATACACAACAAAATACATACTTTGTCGATTACTTCTGATCTGATCTTCTAGTAATAATACTGTCATTGCCACTTCTATTCTTGCTCTTCACGTTTCTTGGTACCTACGTGTAAATCACTTACACGCTAAGTCATAGACTTAGTGAGGCAATAAATAAACATGTAACAATAGATTCATGAAAATGCATTCTTACCATTTGATCATGATATTTCAATATGCATGGATATATTTCCTATGACCTATATAATCAAGTCATGCACACATGAAACTTACCTTTTTGCATCACTTTCACTTTAATTTATATTTCAATTGTTGTTGTTGTTACCCATGTATATTATTGAGAATAGAGGTATGTGAGTACATTGAGGTTGTGCACCAATGCTGTCACTGCAGCTCGTATAAATTTCCTCATTGGGCACCGAACATTTGTTCAGTATTCATCCCGAAGGACTGCTATATATGTCCCGTAGGACCACTACATCCCGAAGGACTACAATACCCTCGACTCTTGGCATGCCAACTATACCTATAGCTCTCGTATCATATACTATGGGTATTTATTATGAATATATTTATCATCACTTGTTCTTTCTCTTCTATGACATACCACATGTATGGGTAACCATATATTTCATATCATATCACATATTGCATATTCATATGTCATTTCATATATTCACATAGCTTATTTCATTTCACATTGGTCATATCTCATAACATATATCACATATGTATATAATCATGTATATCATATCATATATCTTATGTTTCATACTCTTATGTTTATGCATATCATGTATTCATGTACATATAAGAATCACATATCAAATAACATTTTAGGAGTCACTTCTTACCATAGTAACTCCATCATTGGCTCATCGCAAGCCAATGTTCTTTCAATAATATAAGTACAATTAAAATTGCACTCACCTTAGCTTTGTTTTGATTCGATTATAATCCATTGATTATTCCGGAACTTGTTTAGGCTCAATATCTACATAAATATATCATTTCAAAACAACTATCAGAAGCCTAAACTTTAAACTTGATGTTAATAACTTAAACCGGTTTAATGAATCAAATTCCATTTTTTCATTTAGGGGGGAATTGATACCCCCCAGGGGGGAATCTGTTCCCCCTGCACATACTGGAATTTTCGTCCAAGAGGGGGAATCGATTCCCTTCATAGGGTATCGGTTCCCTCTACCCATAAATTGTATTTTAACCCCGAAAATCATCAATTCTTCACTTAATTCTTCTATTTTAAACCCCTATCATGTCATTAAACTTAACTACCATTACTTAAACCAACTTATGTCCATGAAAATCATCTATAACTTGAAAATCCTATCCTTCATATGTAATTCAAGAATCATACTCAAATTTCAATATGTTCTAAATACCATTCTAACACTTCATATTCCTTAATTAGCATAATGACAAGTCAAATTTAACTTCAAATTCAACTTATCAACTCTGTTCCATTATTTCATATAAAAACTCATTTTCTTAAATCTCTTATAACTTTTTCATCTTTTTGTTTTAGAACAAATTAAGCTTTCCTTAAGCTTAATTATCATCTAGTGATCATAACCCAACTTTTAAAACAACAAATAACCAAGAAAATAGAAAACTCACCTTTGCTGTGGCTTTCTCTCGTATGGAAGAACAAAGAGGAGAAGAAGATATATTCTTCTTATCCCTTTCCTCCTTATATATCCTCAACATAATACAATTTAATCATTTAATGGTTAAATGACCATTTTGCCCTTTAATTCTTTTAATAATTACTAACAATCCTTTCAGATAAATCATTGAATTATCCAATTATTCTACTTTAATCACCAAATTCTGAAGTTTTACAATTTAGTCACTAACTCGTATTTTGGGATGTTACACAGACTGAGTCAACTTGTCTGAGTCAACTCTCCGAGTTAACCCGTTGACTTTGACCAAAAAGTTAACTTTTTCGAAAATGTCCTATTTTATGTTTTTCAACGTCCTGAGTCTGAATTCGAAGTCCGTTTTGCCAAATTCGCACCCAGTAAGCTATTTTTCAGTGATTTACCTTCGGATTCTATATGGTTTCTCAAGTAAGTTCAATTTCCAACGTAAAATTGTTTGTTATGTATCCGAGGAATTATTGGACATTGAATTAAAGTTCGAGGGCGATCGAATGGAGTTTAAATGGTCGATTGATATGACACAAAAAACGAGATAATACTCTACTACCTTTTGTATGCTTTCAGAACTCATAGACAGATGGTAAATGTGTGAATGGAAATTATTGGTCCATTAGATGTATTTAACTATACTCAGACATAAATTGGAATAAAGACATAACATTAAATAAGACTCAAACGGCTCGAAAAAGAGAATTTGGAAGATAAATTGGAAA